AGAAGGAGAAGCCAGCACCCCTAGCTTTGACTTCAGGCACTCCCTGGCCTGAAGAGAGGATTCTCAGCACCCCCTCTCTCCCCTCCCCCATGCCTAGGCCAACGGTGGTGACCACCAGTGAGGTAGGTACTGGTGAGGGAGAGCTGGGCTGGGTGTTTGGGGCACCTGGGACTTGTTCCGTTCTTCCCTGACAGTCTGACATCCCTACTACTCCAAGGCATGGGGTTGAGAGATAGGCAACAGGCTCCTGGGACATGTCACTTGATCTCTGTGGTTTCCCTCCTCCCCCTCCCTGCTCAGTGCCTCCCTGAACTGGCTCTAGAGACCTTGTCCACCCCCATACTTCTCAGTAAGGTCCAGAAGACCCAGGCTTAGTCCTTTAGTCCTGATTCTGCTTCAGACTTTCTCAGGAGATCATGAGCAGGTCCCTGCCCCTCTTGGGCCTCGTTTTCCCCACCTGGGGAAATAGAATAAGGTGCCGGTTGGCTGGCTTAGCTTAGTTCCCGGCTAAGGCATGAGTAGCTAATGAGGAGGAGGCTGACAGAGCCCTCTGCCACCTGCTCCGTCCTCTGGGCTCAGGAGAAGAGAGCAGCAGGAGAGGGAGCACCAAGCAGTCTGGGGCACACAGAGGAGGGGAGATGTGCAGAGAACCGAGGGGTGAGCCCCAGCCGGTAGAGGGAGGAGAGAGCCGGAGGGAAAACAGAATGGGAGGAGCCAACATGTCCTCGAAGCAAAGTGTTTGCAGCGGAAAGGGCAGCGCCCCACCCTCCAGATCGGAACCCCACAGGCTGCCTGAGGGATGTGAAGGCCAGGGGGGACCCCGAGACTGAGCTGGAGTCAGCATATCCCACAGGGCCTGAAATCCCACCATTAGTGAGTCATGGTTTGGGGGTGAGGAGAGATCCTGGGGAGAGGAGCAGAGTTATCGGCCAGGAGGGTGGAAAGCGAATGAAGCTCAGAGCAACCCAAGACAGGGGCGACAAAGGAGAGGACACAGGTGAGGCCCTGGCTGCAGAGGTGGCAGGTGAGAAGCCCAGTGGGTATTCAGGAACAGGCAGAAGCCGAAACACTGTCTCGGGCTGGCAGAGGCCATAGGCAGACATCCCAGGCTTCATACGAAGTAGGGGTAGAGTCGGGGTGACCGCAAAAAGGATTTTTCCTGTACCCTCTCTTCCCTCCAGCTCCTGGGTCCCTCCTCCTGCCTTGCAGAGCAGTTGTCAGACCAGACCAGCTCATCTCTATCGCCACCTGGTGGGTACCTCAAGGACTTCACCAAGGTTGGCCTTAGGGCCCCAAACACCTGGGGGCAGCCTCTCCATCCCCACCCCAGGAGGCCAGGTGACACAGAGAGTAGGCCCCTCTCCTCAGCTGCATTTCAGAGGGAGGTAGAAGACGGAGGAGGTGGTGAGGCCCCAGGGATAGCCTGGGGTTAAGGAGACCCAGGCCCTTGACCTCTGTGGCACACGGTGATCCCTGCTCCAGGCCCTGGTGTGACCCCAGGTAGAGCCGGGCCTCTGGTTGGTCACAGACTAAGCCCTGGCCTTTGACTGAGCTCTGACCCCAGTCCCTGAAGGCAAAGGCCAGTTAACTCAAGTGGTCACCTCTGGGAAGACAAGGGCAAAAAGTCCCCTACCATCCTGGCACAGAAGGCCACCATTACATCGATGACAGAGGCTGCTATGTGGATCACAGGCTGCTCACGGAAGGCGGCCAGTCTGCCAACAGAATGGATAGGGATTAGCTTCCCAACCGAAATGACAGCAGGGTACTCTCTGAGAACTAGGTAGGGGTCTCCAAGTCCCAAGGGAGCATGATGGGTGCTGGGGATACCTGAATTCAGGTGAGCAGGTGCCAGGGACCCTTTGCAGCAGGAACCCAGTAGAGGCTACTTAAGGTCAAGGGAATGAGGGTGGGTTTGGGACAGGCCGCTCTGGCTGCTGAGAAGAGCCCAAGGGTCAGGCCTAGGAAAAGCTGCCAGTCCATCATCCAGGTGGGGGTGGGGTGGGAGTGGGGAGTTGTGGAAACGATGATCTGGTTTGGGACATGCTGGATGTGACGTCTGTGGGACATCTGTGGAGAAGTCCCAAGCAGTTGGAATCAGAACCTAAAGCCCAGGCAGGGGAGGTGGGGGGCGGAGGCAGGGAGTGGGGAGACCAGAGCAGCCCCCGTTGGAGTGGGGGCTGCACAAGGAGCCTATGTCCCCAAGCACCTCCATCTGGCATGCTGGCCCGGAGGCAGGGGGTGAGGAGGATGTAGTGTCCGTCACCCCCTCCATTCCCACCAGTCACCCAGCGCCTGCTTTAATGAGCAGTGACCCTGCATCCCCCCCACCTCCCCCCCTCACATGTGGGAACAGGAACTGCTCTTATCTCTCCCTGGGGAGGGGGCTGGAGCCACAGCTGGAGGTCATTAAACACCCTGAGCAGGCCAGGGATGGCTGAGATATTAATAGCCAGGAGTTGATGGCCTTGGAGACACAGCCTCCCAGGAATAGGATCAGTAACCTCTGCAGGCCATGGGGATGAGGAGGACGGGTCAGGAGGCCATCCTGGTAATGCCCCAGCCCTCACGCAGGACAGACAGGGTAACCAAAGTCCAGAGACCGGAAGGGACTTGCTTGAGATCACCAGTAAGTCGTCGGTAGTGCCTGGCCTTGAACCCAGTTCTCAAAATCCCAGAGCCCCGCTTTGTCATCTGGATTGTCCTAGGTGACAGTCACTGGGTGCACCCTGTGAGGAAACACAAGTAGAGCAGACCTAGTTGGCAACCCTGATTCTTTAGTCTCTTTATATAAAAATCTTGATATTTTGTTGGTTGTGTATTTTGCAATCGTTTTGATTTTTTGAAATATCATTTATCCTGATTACCGAGTTTTCTGCCACCTCCTTAAATTTTGCATCCAAGGCACTAATAGCACCTCACTTGCCTCACCCTAGTCCCAGCCCAGCCCCCAGGGGTCCCAGCATGTCAACATGGCAAGAACTCTGGCAAGCTCTGAACTGGCCTCTGTGTGGCTCAGGGGGAAAAATCCTTCCAACATGATGCCCACTAGAAGTGAGTATTTCCAGAGTTAATCCAGCCATTCAAGGGTGTCATCTTAGACCTAGGTATTTTCTATCTGTCCACTCTGCCATCCTCCGTACGTTGGATTTCATCCTCGGACTTATCCCCTCATGATTGCAAGATGGCCGTCGCTGCCACAAGCATCATGCTCTCACAGACCGCATCCACTGTCAGGGAGGAGAATGTTTCTTCCTGTGTGTCTCCTTTTATCAAGGAAGGTAAGCCATCCCAGAACCCACCTTCTGCACACTTTCCTCG